ACACACACACACACACACACACACACACACACACACACACACACACAATTTCCCCCTACCTTCTCCCTTCCTCCCCAGAACATACCCTTCATTTTTATACTTCTTCAGAAGTCGAGAATGCAGTTGCTCTCAAAAACTCTAAGGAATGTATTAGTATTAAAGCTCCAGTTAAGTCTCGCCACTGTTTGGTCACAGGGTTTTTCATTCTGTCCAAAGCCGATTGAAGGTCTTGTACCACGTCTCTATAGCTGTTTCCATAGTGAGCACCCCAAGTATAGAGAAAATCATAGGCAGGTTTCCACATCATCTATAAAGAAAAAAAATTAGACTGGAGTAGTGTGGAAGTAAAAGAGAGAAGAAAATAGATGCTTTAAAAAAATAAGTTTTAAAAGCCTCTTAAGATATAAAACAAAATGGAATACCAATTATGTGTGGATTTACTTAACGTCATGAAAAACATGTTTTAATAACTACCATTTCCCTCTTATATCCCTGTGTTTCTAAACCTAGAGGTTTTTTAAAATAATGACCAGTAGAGTCTCTTTTTTTTCTTGATCCATCATCTAAACATTGCTTATTGCCTTGATCTGAATATAAAATTCCTTGCACAATTTTTTGATGATATTGAGATGTTACCGAGATAAACTTCTCACCCTCTGAGGGACTTTTAAGGTAAAAGTAATGACTCCTTTATTGTACTAGTATCTGCGGTGAGCTTTATGACACCACATACAGGACTATATAGCGTATTTAATTCTTTAAGTAAGTCATTTTATTTGAGCAAGTCTATAAACAAGGAAAAATGTAATTTCATGATCAAGTCAAAAGGAAAGCAAAAATACAGTTCTCTAATTAAAAAAAATAATTTAATGAATCACTTTATGACCAAAAGAAAGATCAATATTCAATACTTCATTATGCTTTCCCTGAGCACCTACCCATGCCAATGACATCATTGTTACCATAGAAATAAATGTACGTCAAAGAGGAACTTCATGTTCAAGCATGTATGTAATGGTAACCAAGGAAACCAGGCTCAAGGAGAATAAAGACAAAGGCTGAACAAATAAGACAAACTGTAGAATACACACACACACACACACACACACACACACACACACACACACAGAAACACAACCAGCTTAAAACAAATTTTCTCTAAGAAAACAACAAAATGAACCATGCACTTATAATTGGAATATTTGGAATATAAGCTTTATTACCTGCTACTTATTTGGGTTCACTAAACTCATTCATTAGTGATTTTATCACTTGCAAAATGCAGGAACACAGACTGTGAGCTCAATATTATGCAGAGTTGCCCTCTTAAAATAGAGCCTCCATTAACAGTAATATCACATGAAGTAGGGCCTTGGGATATATTTTTTTACCCTGCTTTGATAGCCTCAGATACTCTAAAATTGAAATTAAAAGGATGAAAGACCTAAGTAAGGAGTTTCATTGTGTTTCAATTCAATCTACATAAAAGGCTAGGCATTGAACTCAGAAGACAGTTTGATGTTATTTGTCCAAATTGGCATTCCTGAGAAACCCACAAACACTCATATCTTCATCTCTCTTAATGAAGCTTGATTCTGCAAGGTACTGAATGGAAAATAATTATCAAAGTTATACCACGTCCAGGTGGTCATGATGCATTGTCCCAAATGGTCCCAGATTTTTGTATGTAAGCTTTATCCTGTCCAACCAGGCTTATAAAGAACTGTCTCTTCCATCACTGATAGACTGTGAATGAGGTGTACGCTCATCTATTTTTCTGAATACTCACTTTGAAACCAAACCTCCCAATTGCTGGTCACCATAGCTCGGCAATGGAAGATGAGTTGAGGCATATTAACAGAGATTCAATCTTGCCTGTCACTGCTCAGATGGAAAGATGCACTAAATGAGCTGATTATTTTGTAGTGAGTATATATTAATCCTCTGTAAAAGCTTTGAGACCTGCATTCTATGTTGTATTCATTTAAAATGTCCTGATGCTCAACTAGTTGGCACGTTATTTTTCAACTTGTCATATGTTGTTTAAAATAATGATGTTTATAGCCAAAGCCTTCTAAGATTTTATGCTAAATCCTTTAGTAAGTGAATGATAAAAAGATGTATTTGAAGATATTTTATGATAAAGAGCAACTGGAAATGTAACCGTACTAAGATGATGGCATATATCACAAGAAAACAGATGTCTCTTAAAGAATTGCAGTGGGTAATTCTCAGGTCGTACACTATTCCGTGTGCAGAGTCAGAGTAACTTCAGAGGCAGCCAAAATGGCTGCCCTGCCTTTCCTGGTAGAAAAACTCTGCATTGCATATCTTGCACAGCATGGGGCACTGCTGTGTATAGAAAAGCCCTGAGGCATGTTCAATCATGCAGCAGCCTCTGGATGCTGTCTGAAGCAGGAAATATACCCAGGTGATACAGGAATTGGAAACTACAGATTCAGAAGAAGTCCAATGATACATTTATCTACTCCCTTATGCAGAGGGCCATCTAACACTCTCACACATGGCAATTTTTACTGATAGAACATTTCAGTCAGCTCTTTCAATTCAGAGAAATTTGGAGAGATTTCTGAACCTGGACCCTAATTAAGACATCTGAAAGTATAAAAGGATGCCCCAGGACAACTCTGAGTTAGTCAGAAAAGCAAGGAGGGATATTGCTTTAAACTCATTGGGGATTCTCTGGAGTCGAATCCATGAGCTACATAGAAATGGATACAATAGCTCTGGGCTGAAAACACTAGGGCCATGGTAAACTTCATGATTTATATTAAAATGAGTATATATTGCATTCCATTTTTGTTTCTCTTTGCAGCAAACTAAACCTGAATATTCCTTCAGTGCAAAATCCGATCTGCTATATAAAACATCATTCGTGGCTCTCAATAGAGATGACAGAGAAACACTATTGTAGCACAAATACAATGAATATATTCAAAATACATTGTTCATTAATTCACTATTTCACTTCTTAAAGAATTTTTGAGCAGCTACCACTACAAAGAATTTTGTTACAGAAAAGAATAAAATGATGAATATGGCATGGCTTGCTTTTAGAAGCTCTTAGCAGGGGCGCCTGGGTGGCTCAGTCCTTTAGCATCTGCCTTTGGCTCAGGTCATGATCCCAGGGTCCTGGGATAGAGCCCCGCATCGGGTTCCCTGCTCAGCGGGGAGTCTGCTTCTCCCTCTCCCACTCCCCCTGCTTATGTTCCCCATCGCATTGTCTCTCTCTCTGTCAAATAAATAAATAAAATCTTAAAAAAGAGAAAAAATAAAACACGAACCATAAAAAAAAAAGAAGCTCTTAGCATAGGAGGGAGATAGATACTTGTGCAAACACTGGCCCAGTGTATGATTAGACAGGATTTGGTTACTACTAACAGTTAAGAAAAACTCAAAAACTTACTTTGATACTTTCATTTAGTGTAATAAAAAATGATAGTTCCATTGACTGAGAAGCATTACGGTGTAATAGAAAGAAAGATGAGTTTTGGTGTCAGAGTCCTGGGTTGACCTCTGAGTTACGTTCCCTGTTGGATGGGTCACTTTGAGTAAATTAATCAAAGTATCTGAACTTTGTGTTTTGCACTCTATAAAATATAGATAATAATGTCCAGGTTTGTGTCCAAAGCACCTCCTAAAGTGTCTGGCATATAGTTGGCATTTAATATTTTTAATAGGATATGAATGGGTAATTTGGGGATGAGAGAAATATAAGGAGGTATTATGCTGAGTGAAATAAGTCAATCAGAGAAAGACGTGTATCATATGACCTCACTGATATGAGGAATTCTTAATCTCAGGAAACAAACTGAGGGTTGCTGGAGTGGTGGGGGGTGGGAGGGATGGGGTGGCTGGGTGAAAGACATTGGGGAGGGTATGTGCTATGGTGACTGTTGAATCACAGACCTGTACCTCTGAAACAAATAATACATTATCTGTTAAAAAAAAAAAAGAAGATAGGAAGGAAAAATGAAGGGGGGGAAATCGGAGGGGGAGACGAACCATGAGAGATGATGGACTCTGAGAAACAAACTAAAGGTTCTAGAGGGGAGGAGGCTGGGGGGCTGGGTTAGCCTGGTGATGGGTATTAAGGAGGGCACGTATTGAATGGAGCACTGGATGTTATATGCAAACAATGAATCATGGAACACTACATCAAAAACTAAAGATGTAATGTATGGTGATGAACATAACATAAAAAAAAAGCAATATAAGGAATCTAGCTTTAACCCTACTGCATATGAGGTAAAGGAGGGAGTATCGCTAGCTTCAGTAAGACATTGGGATAGAGATATGACCTCCAGGGAGCAGCCAAGAGTTTAGCATCACTCATGCTAAAGTGATGATGAAAGCATGAGAGTGGAGGAAAATGCCAGGGAAGAAAATGAAGGGATGGAAAACTTAACCCTCAATTAAGTCTACAGTTAGGGATCACAAATAAGAAATAGAAGCAATAAAAAGATGGAGAGAAGCTGGTGTCAGAGGAATAGAAAATTAAGCAGGGTACTTCATGGTGCAAAAGTCAAGGGCTGATAGCATCCTAAAAAGGACATTCAGCTCACAGCAGCTTCTCAGAGCCTGTTGTTCACATAGCCTCTCAACTCGATGTTCAGTGTCATCGCATGGAGAGGTTCCAATCATCAATGTTAGGAGTTTCTACGCCATGCCTTACAAAGCATGACAAAAGTCCAGCCTTCATCAGTGCAATAAATAATCAGTTGCTGTCCTTTGTGGCATAGCTATATGATATTTGACTCAAGTCCTTAAATATTTACTTTTATTTCTTCAGCATTTCTTTCTATGTCATTCTACCTTCCTTACTCGGCAAGTGACCATATGCTATCAAAGGCAAAGACACAAGGGGAAACTTGCACACATTAATTTAACTACAGACTTTATGAAATTGTATCCAAAAATACACATTAAGAGCCACAGAAGTATTCTCAGCTTTGTAATCATCAAAGGGAAAATGAAGTCATTTTTTTCTGGAAATGTCTGAATGAATAAAATAAGTAGAATAAACAATTTTCTTTCCAGGATGACCTAAGTCCTCCAAAAGCTGGAAGTGACTGTGGACTGCTAAGACCTCTTCCAGGTTTATGTTACCTTATATCTCGTCAGTGGTTTGAAATAGTTCTTGTGCTGAAATAGTTCTTCCGCTCTTGTTCAGTGTTACGATTTAAGGAATGATGCGTAGAATCCCTGCTCTAATGCTTAGACAAATCAAAAGGAGGGCATGCTCCTGAGAGTTTGTTTTTGTTGAATTATTCTTTTTTTTTAATT